AAGCTCACACTAACCCGTCCATTTGAGATACAATTCAGAATTTTCCTTGGAAGGTATTGGGAAGGAATTGGAATGTAAAAATATAAATTTATATAGATGCATTTATACAGATACAGAAAAAAAAAAAGTTTTCTATTTATTCAAACGATGTACCTACAGGATAGAGATAGAGAAAGAGGAAAAAACCAAACATTTCACATATTACTTTTGATCGAAAAAAAACAATCTAATTTATTTCGTACCTTTTGCTCAATGATAAAATGGGTCAGATTCTACAAGATCAAACCTATGGGACTTAAGGAATGATGGAAGGGAATAAAAAAAGAAATAAAAAAAGAAAGGGAAAAATAATTGAATAAAAATGAAGTAGAAGAGCCCAGATTCCAAATGAATGAAAACGTGACTGAATTGGAATTATCATCGGTTCGGTCGGTACATAATAATCTATACTTTTTTCTTCTATATGAAGACTGGATAATGTATGACGAAGTCTCAACAAGAATTCAATCAATTTAACCCCATTGCATCCCTATATTTATTTATGGCCTTCAAGGAGCCGTATGAGGTGAAAATTTCATGTACGGTTCTGTAACAGCGATGGTAACAATGATGATATCACCGAATATAATTATCTAACAGTTCAAGTACAATTCATATTGTTGAGGCACAATCAAAATATGGTTTTTGGGGATGGAATTTGTGGCGTCAGCCTATAAGGTTTATCATCTTTTTCCTATTCAAAGATCAGCTTGTGTTTTAACATTGAGAATTCTTTGCAGATGAAGAGATGTCAAATGGGCTTCTTACTTCCCAAACGGATCTTCCTACATCTATATATAAACGCTGGTTTATCAAGAATACGTAAAAATCATGGTATCCTTCTTATTATTAATTACTTAGAATTTGAACAAAAAAATAAATTCATTTGATAGAAAATCATTAACAACATCTCTCAACATTCATATTGACAACAATGTATCAAATAAATATAATCTGATCGTGGATATTACATATAATAGATATTTAGACCTGAGTTGACGAACAACTAGTACCAATGTTAGTGTTTATTAGTGTCGACTAGAAATGGGGCGTGGCCAAGTGGTAAGGCAACGGCTTTTGGTCCCGCTATTCGAAGGTTTGAATCCTTCAATCCCAGAACATACCTGACCCACAATCATTTTATTAATCTATAATAAAAAATAAAATAATATCTATATCATAATAAAATATATCAAAATAAAAATTGTCTTTTCAACCAGTCTTCCGTTTAAGAGTATAATATTGTTAATCATATATTTTTCACAAATTTAATCGAGTTCAAATAACATGCATATGAAATGATATATATATATATATATATATATATATATATATTTCGTTCTCTTATTGAATGTGGTTAATTTTGTCTTGTACTAATCACCATTTCATATATATATATCTCGTTCTCTTATTGAATGTGGTTAAATTTGTCTCGTACTAATCACCACTGCAGTATTATTGGTTTAAAGGCATTTGGGTTTCAAGTTATATTTAGAATTATACTAGAAAGTGTGACCCGCGCGTTGCTGCGGGAAGTGTCACCTGCGTGTTGCTGCGGGATTGAAAATTTTATGACAAATTATGATTAAAAAATGTAAAAGATAATGCATCCAATGATTGTGGACCTAATGTCATCAAACCAAAGTAAACTTTCATTTAACTAAGTTCTTAGCACTTCAGTTAAATCTCAAGTTTTAAAAAGTAGTTCAATTTGACTAAAATTATACAATGAGGCAAAAAGACAAAACAAACAGTTGCGGAAAGGTGTACATTGACACTAATCCTGTAAGTCAAATATGAAAAATGTTAAGAATGTAGAAGCTTAAATTATCCCTAGCATCAGGAGATTAACAATGAAGAAACAAAATCCATATGTTTATATTGATTGTCGCTTGACAATTCAGCATGGGAAAAAATGCAAGAAAAAAATATTGTTAAATATCATGTGAATAAATGAATAACAGTGAACATTACATATAGCATAACATGAATATGCATGTGCATATTAAATACTACGCAATAATATGCATAGGCAAACACTAACTATCAATTAACCATTTTCATTAACAATTTAAAAAGGTTGTTTTTAAGTATAAAAAGATCTAATACAAAGAATAGAACACTGAATATTATAAAAAATAAATCCATATAATATACAGACACAAAGATTATGAAAATATATATCATTTGACAATACAAAATCAAGCAATGTCTAAAGATGACAAAAAGATCCCAAATAGTGTTTTTGACCCAAAAAATAAAGATCCTAGATAGTTTATTACAGAAAGCAGAAACATTAGATCATATGCATTGAAACAATTAACAAATTTTCAATGAGCAATACTAAGTATTTATTACTTAAGATCATTAAGTAATGATTGCTCACCTTTTCATCAACCAGCATATGTGCAGACCTGTATATTTATCAGTTGTCATCAGAACAGGCAGACTTTAATTTTTACTGCCTTTTTATATGGTTATCAGTTTTGATCCAAGTAAACTAAAAAAACCAATTATAATTAAAGATTTATTAGTTATAGCTAAATCAAACAATGGTTGTATCTCAAGAAGTGAAAGATAATTAGTTGTGCCTAGTTTTATGTCAACACTTCATATTACATCCAATTTAACTATTACAACAATATAGTGACACACTTAACATAAAATTCTGCCAACCATATAACAATAGTAAATCAAGTAATTTGCAAAAATTAGAAATGTATCATAAAAAGTAAATATCTTATCTCATACGTGTTAAAATGATTAACAAATTCTTAGTCAGTCGTATCTTATTAAGACTCGTGGCTGAGAAAATAAGAAGGGAGAAAGAGAGAAATGAAACATTACCATCTAGTCTCTTAACTGTGCAAAACTTAAAATTCACATAGTCAACAACCATACTTGAAACCAATAAATAAAAAATTAATAAAACTTCTTCAGAGATTCAGAGTAATAGTTAAAATTTTGGAAGACCCAAATAAAAATCATTTAGCTATAAACAGTAAGCAAAAACGTGAAGAAAAAAAAATAGAGATGCACTAAGACCATAATTCATGACTGTTATCCAAAATTTCCAAAGTAAACATACAATAAAATAGATTCCTTTCTATTTTTCATCTCTCTCCCTGTTATTTAGTATTGTGATAAGGTTATGATAAACAATTGTTTTTCCAAAATTTAATAATAATAAACATCACAGTATAAGTTTAACATGAGAGAGAGTCAATCTCTACCTTTGATATGTTGATCCTACCATTCCCCTGCATACTTGATCCTTTTTAAGTCCACCTATTGGCAAAAAAATAAAGACAAAACTTGTAACACCATTTAAACAAAAAGAGATTTCTCAATCAGAGAAAGCTTCAATTTCAATTAATTTATTTTGTTATCAATGCAATATTGGAACTTGCATTTGGTTCAAAAAAGTAATGTAAATTGATCAAGCAAAAGAAACTAAAAATAGAACCCATACCAATTGGTTTAAAAGCATTAATCAGTATGACAATGAAAATTTCATACTGAAATCTCACCTTGTGACATTACCTTATATGTGTTCATTTCCTATTTTTCATCAGACGCATTCTCATTCTCTAGTTGTTGAGTTTAATTTTTCTTTCGACTCCCCATGTAGATGGGCTCAACCTCCTTTTGTTTTTCCTAGAATTTTTTCACTGAAATACAAACCTGTATTGGTTATGGATATTAACAAACTGTAGAGAACTTGTTACATAATATACATACCTGCAGCATTAGAACAGATGAGAAACGGTGGGTATCATCAATAGTACTTGTCATCAACATCAACTTATCATCCAAAGCGGCATTTAATTTCTTTTATTCTTCATCATCTATGATATATATGAATAATAGATCTCAAAAGAATGATAAAAAAAAAAACAAACAAAGCATGGTCGAAATTGCTTTATAATTTCGTATCAATATGGCATGAAAACTTGGTTGATTCATTTGTGAACTAAATTAAAAACAAACTTAAACGTTAATTTAGTGATGAGAGGTTGATTATTCAGTGATAAACTACATATGCACGCCACTGTCTACTTAAGGTGAGCAATTTGAAGATTCTATACCTCAAGCATCTGGAACCCTACATACAAAAGCGGCAAAAACGATGGCCACTGCTTCCTGAAAATAAAAAAATCAAATCATATACCCGCACTAAAAATCCATATACAACACAACCCCAAAATTAATTATCACCAATTTTCTGTACCAAAATTAATTATCACCAATTTTTTTTTACAGAAAATAGATCCGCAAACTAAACATGACCCAAAAAAATTTTAAATTTTGTTCAACAAAAGATATAAGAGCAGGAACATAAATTATATACCTTAATCAAAAGGGGCCTGCAAACTTCTATACAAAAACCATAAAATTCGAACGGTAACGTTTCCTGAAATAAAAAACAACCAAATCATACACCCACACTAAAAATCCAAACTCATAAACCATGAACACTTCTCCCTGGAAATAAAAAACAACCAAATCACAACCCATACTAAAATCCCAAACAGACAAAGGAAACCCCAATAATTAGTCATCCCACCAAAAACGAAACAGGACCAAAAAAAAATTAAAAATTCTGTTGGAAAAAGATTTAAGAACAAAAACATAAATTATATACCTCACCCAGAAAGGGCTTGCAAGCCTGTACAATAAAACCTTAAAATTTGAAGACCAATGTTTCCTGCAACAAAAAATGAAATCAGATCAAACATCCACACACAAAGTACAAAAAAAAAATTAAGAAAACGCTCAGCACAAAACGGCAAGACTTGAATTTTACACTAATCAATTAAAAAAAAAATTTCTTGCTAACCAAACAGAAAATAAGATGTGGATGAAGCAACACACCTAAAATGGCGCAATTGGTTTCTGGAAAACAGCCAAAAAAAATCCAAAAATGCCTTTCTAGACGACGGAATCGAAATCGAAACGGAGAGACAGATGAAGAGATAGAGAGAGCAAATGAAAAGGAAAAGAGACGGAACAAAATGGAAGACATTTCACCACCAAATTTCAACAAAGAAGTAACAAAGCACAAAAAAAAAAAAAAAACAAAAAATTCAAATATTTGGCTTTTGGGTAGTTGAGAAGAAGTGAGATTTAATTACCTGTCAAAGGCTAAATTGGGAGCATGATGGTGCGTCGAAGAGATTGAACAGATGAGGAAGCAAAGATCGAACAGATCTCACGAAGCAGAATCGAAATCGCTAATCGGTCGAAGAGCACAGTTTTTTCCTTTTTGGATTTCTGCGATTTCTGAGGAAGAAGTCGAGACACTTCTATTGGACACCAGGGTTAAAATACACCAGAAGAGTCCGGAAGAGTAAAAACAAAAAGAAGGGAGCACGATGACCAACACGTGTGAAACATGGCACAAATGCAATTAAACAAATCAAGCAGGGGCAAAAAAGGAAGCACACTGCTCTAGAACAGTGCCACCCAAGTTTGGGTTTTAGTATATATAAATTTGAGAGATAATCATCAAATTTTTGGAGTATGAAATTTGGGATATGATAAAAAATCTAAAAGATTAAAATTGGCCGTGATAGGAAAACTCGAACCAAAAGCCCAAAGAACCTAATATATAGTAGTGCTCACTTGCTATCAATGTTAATGGAACAACTCTGTCTTTTCGGCCATTGGGTCTCGTTTATTTCAATACTTGTGAGTAGTTCAAGCATAAATCCTCGATATAAATTCGAAATTTACAAAATTTTAAAATGCATTTCACTTCTAAACCAAACTTATTCGGAATTTTCCAATCTCATATGTCATACATGATATGGGTACTCCAAAGTTGAAAAAAAAAAAAAAAAAAAAAAAAAAGGATCACAATAGCTGGGAATCAAAATTTCTCATCCAACTTGCACCTTATTAGAAAGTAATTAAGAGGATGGCTAATTCTCTTCCAAGGCTTTGACTGAGTCAAGCAGAATCTTGGACAAACTCCACAAAGTGTCAAAGAAAGGGAAGGATTTTAATTCTCTTTCTTAGACATCAACAAGCCTCCAATTGTATTTGGTAAGACTACTTTGTTCGTGTACGGGTTGCCCTAATTGCTTTTCTATTTAATTTTATTGTTTCAATAGCATATGGTTATTGTCACTCAGTACTACGGTCTGATAGTATTATTCTTCACTTAGAAGTACGAGATCTTAGATTCAAATCTCGTAAATGACGAATTCAATACCAAATTAAGTTGCTCATTGTTGGCTTAGCCGAACTCTAGCATATGGCTATTTTTGAATGCAGAAAACTTGACCTTCCGATCGATGTATAGTTTCAAGGTAAAGGATTAGATCAAAACAACCCGAAAACTCGAAAATTGACACGAGCGTAAACGGCCTCCAGAAACAGATTGCAAGAAATCATGTCACATTACAGCTGATAGTGCCTACATTTCTTCAGAGAAATTATCAGTTTTGTGGAATGCATTAATCACTCCGTATGGCATTATTGCCTATTACAGTTGAACAGTATAAATCTGTTTGATCAAAATACTTCTGTGCAACACAACAAGAATTATCGACCAAAATCGAGAAATATGTATGGTTCTGCAGACAAGTTTTACAGTCTGCGTTTGTGACCGAATCCTGTTAATTAGACTGTTTGACAATTATAAAGCTTTGCATGTCCTTGGGTTAGAAACACCCAAAAAATTCACCAAATTCAGCAAGAAATTTTTACTCCTTCACACAGCCTTGCTGAAAATCTTTGACACCTTATTTACTTTCAGAAGATCCAAAAGATCAATCTCAGGGCTTCTTTATGATGTTCAAGATCCGACTAGACCCTTGTGGCGAGCATATGATATGATTATTATGAAACCAAAAAGACAGCAAATTCCCGTGACAATGCAGACCTGTCAATGGAAAAATATTCAATTCTCAGACATGTTTACAGTCATACTAGAAAAGATTACCAGCGGAAATAAATACTTTGCCTACCCATTTGAACATGTATCCGTAACCCTGATTCCATGTATACGGGATATTCATCCCAAAAATTCCAGTCACCAATGCAAATATGGAGGTGCATACAGTCCCGGAACTAAGAAAAAGCTCAAGCTGCAAGCATGAACGTGAATAAAATAAACAGTAATCTTACAAAATACAGATCCTTGTGGATATGGAGCAGCAAAGTAAAAAGAAAATACAGAAATTAAAGGAACAGAATCCAGCATAGTACAGTAATATGATACACTACATCAGAAGACAAAAAGGCACCTGAATCAGCTGATTCCTGTGGTTATCGAGCTGCAAAATGAAACCATAAGTTAGATAAAAAAACATAACAAATATTATCATAAAAATTTAAGATTTATGAATTAAGTACCTGAATATTAATGTAATCCTCTGTATCATCAATATATTCACGTAGCTGCAAAAGTTCATATTTAAGCAGTTGCAATGTTGATAAAAAAAGTCTATTCCACGTAAAAATGCCTATGAGAGTTTTTCTATTGAGTTTGGATGGAAAAACATTGGTCTATGAGAGTTTTTCTATTGAGACCAGTTGGAAAAACATTGGACTATTATAGTGAATTTAAGGGGATGATTCATTTGTTGACTCAATACCATTCTCCTCTTAATCAAAAATCAGATCTTGATATGCAATTCCTCTGTCGCTTCCTTAGTAGTGTGAGTGTACAGATTACTTTATACGTCCTCAACTGCAGGTTCACACTCATGATAATTCTGCTTTGATAGGTCAAAGTCATGATAACTTATAACTCTACTTGGTATTAGATAATTCGCAGCATTATTACTAGGGGTTCCCTTCAAGGTAATATGTATGGTGGTCGTACTGTGTTTAAGGACCACCTTATTCCTTTGGGGCCAGGACAGTTTATGACTGGCGTACTTCAGTGCATTTTGTGCGGGGCAGACTCATACTAGTGATATACATTATGATTGGCATGGAATACGGTGGGATGAAGCTAGATCACAAGGTTAAGTTTTCCTCAAAAACCAATAAAAGAAGATAAGTTTGCATCTAAATAGCACATACCGTGGCTAATTTGTTCAAGGTGCCATCAATCTGCATAAAATAAGCCTGCAAAGGCATTGCTTGCTGGTTTAGTATATAGCTTCACTAAAATAAGGAAAACAAGAACTATGCAACATTACTACCTCAAGTAACATTTCAAGTTTCTCAATGTCATTCTCATCATATAGCTTTACTAAATAAAGCAATCAGGAAGTATGCAACATCATTACAATATTACCTCAAGTAACATTTCAAGTTCCTCAACGTCATTCTCATCTCCACGAACAGTGACGATACTTGCCCTACTTGCCCGGGATATTTTTGAGCCTATGGTAGGGGAGGCAGGATACCAATTGGAAGGACCAATGTCACTAACTGGCGAAGATGCACCAGCCAACTTTCTGGACAAGTAAAGGTCAGCCATATCATCGTCATCATCCAGCAGTTGTTCAAGCTCATCCCTGACCTACAATAAGCAATACAGAATTTCCAATTAACTTGATTTACAGTAGTAAAGACTAAGAGGACAATGATAGGTTGTCTTCAATCAAACTCTGACTAAGAAATTCCACACAGCAAATTCATTTCAATAGCATAGTCTGCAAACTCAAAATGAGATGCACAACAGAAAATGAAAAAGAAAAAAAAAAAAAAAAAAAAAAAAAAGAAAAAATTGATCTACAGAATAATAAAAAACGCACTTTCATGCAACTAATTTAGACTGGAAGGTATGGAGGACCTCATCTATACAAATTTAACTAAATTGGTTGTGTATATTTTCACTCTGATCTATACAAATTTAACTAGATCACCCATGTCCCTTAAATAACCCAGATAGCGAACTTCCTGATATCAGTACTTAACAGAAAAAAGCCATCTTAACAACTGAACTTTTCCAGACATCTAAGGACCTCATATAAGAACCTCGGCACGCGTTCAAGCGCGCGCGCACACATACTTATATAATTGTTAATTATGTATATACAGTCACCTATAGGGTGTTATAATTCTGACTCTCTCTGGATCTTGTTCTTTGATCTATCTGGCAATAGACTAAACTTCGCAAATTAGAGAACAACTACAAACACATAAGACTTATACTGGTTTGGCAGAACTTTTGCCTATGTTCAGTTGTGATTTCCCTAGGTAGAGAAACCACGGCTTCTTTGATTAATAATAGGGTATACAGTACTTTTGTAAACCTTAGAACTAATCCCTCTCTTTCCCGCAGTTGTCTCTCTTTCCAGCGGCTGTCTCTGGCTTTTCTCACTCTTTCCCTAGCCTTGCCGAACCCTTAGTATGGGGTGTGGTTTACATGCCTATTTTCTGATTAAGTTTCCGATTCTATATGGAATAGGAAAGAAATTCTTTCCTATTCCAAATTATCTTCTAGGATTCCCAATCTAATTGTACATGAAAATTTTGATTCTTTTTTAGTTCTTTTAGGAGAAGAATCGGTGCACCTTTAATTTCCCTAATAGAATCCTAAACAAAATAGGACACTAACTTTGACAAGCCAAAATCCTAACATTGGGAAGTGCTCAAACACTTACCAGTCGGTACTATATAAAGGCATTGCCATGTTCTAAGCCCTTGGACAGAAATTCATAAATGGTTAATACTAAACAGGGCATTCTTATTTACTTACATACGTTAATACTTTGTCTTGACTCATAAGCAAAAAAAACTCTGCTCACCAACTGTTGGATCAAAATCTAATGACTCATATGCACTCAAAATAGAATGATTGCTTTATCAGGATTTGAAGGTCAACAATCAAGAATTGAATATCAAACATAGGATGAACTGAGAGATTGCACATGGTGGATATGAGATTGAAGTCGTGTGTAAATTTACTAGGTTATGACAGGAATGCAGTCCAAATCCTTGGGTTCAACACAAACAATACTACTTTGGATCTTGATTCCATAAAATGAAAGTAAAATAGGAGATTTCAGCTTGTGGAGCATATTAGTGCAGTATGCATCCAGCACATTTACAAACCATTAGAACAAATTTACTTTCTCAAACGAAATATTACAAGCTATCTAATGAAGTGATGTTCGGTAGATGGTGGGTGACATGAGTAAAATTACTCCCTCATCTTTCACCAAACACCAAAGTGAAGCATATCAAATCAATGAACGATTGCGTTTAAATTCAATAACCCTCACAAGAGGCAAGAACTACCATTCAGTTATGCACACACCACAGGAAGTTCATATACCTTTTGTACCCGAGCAGTCAACCTAGTCATTCCACTCTTCAATTTACGAACCCTATCCAAATTGCGGCTACTAATCTGCAGGCAGAAGGGGTGGATATTTTAATAAATAAAAACAATAAAAAAGTGCCGACTTGAGGAAGAAATATAATTGGAAGACTATTTTCTTTAATATAAGTACAAGTGAGAAAAATATTCTCTCATAGCTAAAGATGCTAAGTTTACAAAACCATTCAGGCAAATATGCAAGCCAATATTTCTGTGAAGCCAAATATTAAGTTTAACACCAAGAATGCAAAGATAGAGGCCTACCAAAACTAACCAAAGTGTGAAGCATAACATCCCGAATCTCTTCTAGACTCAACTTTACACCAAAATGCAAAGAATCATCCTAGACTTCGTTATCTAGTACTTTAAGTAGGAAATATTCCTCACGTAGCCAATGCTGACAAAGAACATGCCTGAAGGCTACTATCAGTGATTTACCTAAATCGGCCAAACTAGTGAATGAAGTACTACATTCATTCAGTTTCTTTGTTTATTTTTCTTTCAGTTGGAAGGCCACAAGAAGCAGAGAGGCAGCAACTGAAGAATCCACAGACACAAAACAAAAATAAAAGAAAAGTCAAGTCCTACCTTAGCAGTAAGCTCATCTAAAGCAGGATAAGCAGCAGTCTCAAGTTCTGTTGTACGTGCAGCAAGAAAGCTACAAATTGCTTCCAAAGCTACCTCCAAGGCCCGGAACTCAAATGGTGACTCTACAATGCATAATGTATATCATTCAGATAATCATGGAATAAAACCAGAACTCAGAACTTTTGAAGTTTAGAATGATTTATTCAAACATTTCTATATTTCCAAGAACACTAATGACAGCCATAGATACTATTTTTGAATGAAAAACTTTGAAAGCAATAAATCATACCATCTTCTTCACCCGCCTCAATATCATTTTGCACAGCAGGGAACTCTTTCCCATTTGTTTGACTTTCATGTGAGACATTTACAGGAGGCAACCGTCTTTGAAGCTCTTCAACAACAGGAATAACATTTTCATCCAATGGATCCCGGAGCAGCACCTATCCCATAACAAACTAACAATCACTATCTACAAAAAGCTCCAGCTCATAGAAAGCACCACACATATTTTTCTTTCTTCCTAGAAGACAAGGATGGACTATGGTTTGACTTTATAGGAAACATACTTTCAACATTCTGAATTTGCACAATCTATCTAGCTGCTCCTCTTACTTAATTCTCCATAAAAACAATTAATACTTCTCTCTTAAAGCAGCAATCTTTATCCGCGGAAAAAAATACAAAACTAATACCGATGTCTATCCTATTCAAACTCGGTGATTCCTCAAAACCCAAAAACAAATAAACTCCGCTGAAAAGGAAAACGAGTATATCTAGAGAGAGCGAGAGAGGCTAACCTCTTCAGCAGTGATTATTGCTTTAATATGCTGCAGAAACAAACCCAATTCAATTAATGAGAAATACCACAACCATAATTTCCAACAAAAATATATAAATTACATTGCAAAACACAAAAATAAATAAATAAATGAAATGACAAACAAGAAGAGGAAGAGCACGACCTCCAAATTGAGAACTATGGCTCGGTCACGGCCGAGAATGGTGGAAGGGTAAGAGAGCAAAGGGTCGACAATGCGAAGATCGCGAGCGTGAATGTGAACTCTCTGCATGATGCCATACTTGTCCACGTCCAAGACGGTAGCTTTTCCGGTGCAATCCAACAAAACCCAACTCCGAGAGGACTTCTTCTTCACCGCCACAACCGCCTGTGGGTCCAGCGGCACCAATTCCCCGTCTGGAGCCATATCTGACCATCCCCGAAACCACCGGACCCAAACGCGCCAACCTTATTTCACTCACATCTTCAACAATAAAAAAAACCCAACAATTCAAAACGTCAATTTCCAGTTTGCGCCATCGAAAATTTAAATGGGGCAGTGAAGATTCGGCGTGAAAAATGCCAGGGGCGGTGATTTGTTTATGATTATTTGATGTTTTGTTAATAATTTCTTCGTTAATTTGGGGATCTGTATATTAGGGATTGGAATATGGATTGGGGGCAAGCAGTTGAGCGTTTGGGAGAGAGGGGACGGGCTGTGCTATTTGTTAGGGGAGTGAATAGGGGAACTTGACACGCAAGAAAATGTTTAGTTTAAAGTAGAGTAGGGGGCCAAATGGACCACACGATTTCTGAACCTGCGGATCTTTCGGTTTCTAATTTAGCTTGTGTCAGGTGTTTGCACTGCCCCCATCAAACTCGATGTGGCTTTCCACCTTGAAACAAAAAATTCCTCATTTTGTACTTCGTTACTCAATATTCGCTCAATTTTAGTTTGTTTTTATTAATTCCGTCAAACTAATTACATGTCTTTAAAAAGTATGTGTATTAGCAATCTAAGTGGCAGATCAAGGGATGGTTATTTTGGTAAAGTTGCCAAGTGAATCACCACCACTTGAAACCCAATACCGACCTAGCCCAAAGACGACAATCTACACAATTGTCGAAAAGCAGTGGGGTGTCCAAGTTTCAAACCTTAGGAGGGTCTCAGTCTAATTTTTAAGATATAAAAAGAGCGCGAAGCGTGTTAAAAAAAAATTGATTTTTAAGATGAGGTGCTTCATCGAATACTTGGTGAGCTTATTGTCGTCAGCAAAATCATGTTACGCACATTTCAACAAATATCGATATAAGCCGAAACAATATGATACTTAATATCAATAGCATTTGTCGAGTGCTGTTGAGATATGTCTAACAAGCATTACATCAAACACTTGACCAGTACAAAAGAAACTCATACCAAACATTCGAAGCATGCCCAAGAAACTTTCATACACGTTTCCCCGCATCCAAGTGGTCTTGGTACCACCTTTCTTTCTCTTTCCAATGAACATCTGCCATATCAAGAGCACCTCTCTTTCTCTTGCCATTGCAAATTAGCAGTCAATTTTAAGAAATCCTTGCTGCTACTCGCATTTGTTATTTGTTACCTAAAAACGTTTTAAATACTACGAAGTTATTTGGATTAGCCCAACTTCCTATGTTGTAGCTTTTATTATTGCTATGCTAGGGAGATTAAGTTTTTTAAACAAAATAATGTGGTCGTAGATGATTGGATTATTAATTATGTGTTAATTAACATGTTTGTTTTTTTTTATTAGTGATACATTATTTAGTTTGCAGATTTAGTTTAAAATTTTGAACTTTCTATTCATTTACTTTTTCACTCATCTCTCTCAAAACATGGCCTCAAAGGTAGGAGTCGTCCACCACTGTCTTGGTATCCATCGCCATTTTTCATGTTCTATAAAGAAGCACCAGAAATATATCGATTTCAAAGGTTAGGTATTCAATTTCCAGAACTGATGATATTTCTCTATAAAAAAAATGGTGTGTTGTCCAAAATCTCAGAACAAATAAAAATGGAAAGATACGGTAAGTTTGGTGGTCCAACAATGGCGTGGTGTTGAGGACGTGGAAAAGAAATCCACGTGCTAGTTTCTGGTTCGCTGGTATTACAACTTTGGTGTTCCAACGATGGCAGTTAGACCAAAATTCCTATATTACCCTTACACGTTAGCATATTTAATCCTAATTTGACAGAATTAACAAAAACTGATCAAAGTAAAACGAATATTGAGCTCCATGATGTAAAGTGGTAAAATTTTTGTTTCAAGGAGGAAAATGACAATGATGGAGTTCCAGAAGGCATTTCCTAAGTAGCACTTTAATTCGAGAAAACAACCTGTTTACGGTTGATTTCTGGTCTTGAATAACGGATAATATGACTAATGTTTCAAATATAGGCTTTCATCATTGCAATCTATAAAGTAAAAGATTTCTTGCATAATTGGAAATTAAAGTTGTGAACATTGTGCATTTAAACACTAATCTAGAAAAATCATTATGGTGGCGTAGTCTGTGACAGCCCGTCCCGAATGGGTATATTATTTTATCCTTGCTAGTTGTGGACCAAATAAATTTTGTCCAACTTGTTTGGACCCAATTAGAACTAAAGAACTTAAGGTTTTGTTTTGGTTGGTGACCCAACGAGGACCACACACACACACACACCCTCAACCCGTGTATTCTCTCTTTCCTCTCTCTCAGATTTTCTTCCATTACCGTACAATTGTACGGACAACTTCAAAGCCAACTCTCCACTCACGGATCAAGGTCATGAATGGTGTTTTTGGACTCTTTGCAAGCTAGGAATCGAATGGTGGTGGCGGTTGGACGTGAAAACCTCGGAAACCTTTGAAACCAGAATTCCTGATTTGGTGCACTGTTCATGTAAACGTGATCGTGAAGTTTTTAGAGAGTTTTAAGCTTCTAAGGAGCTTTAGAACATCTTCGCAAAGCTTTGAGAAGAATTTTGAAGTGTTTTGGACATCGGGAAGCTCGAGTTCATAAAGTTGCAGTGGTTGCCGGAGTGTTCGAGGTTTCCCCGACGAGATTTTGTTTGTTTTCGGACTCCAAAGTGGTAAGATCATGTTCTCCTAGTTGAGAGCTTCATTTTGGTACAAATTTCATGAATTTTGGTGTTGAAATGAGTAAGTTATCAAGCCTTGAAGTTTTTCCAAAAACCGGCGACACAACGGCGACCGGCGACAGACTTTGGCAACCAAGGAAAGAAAAGGAGAATATTCCGTCAACTTTGACGGAATATACTAACGGCATATTCCATTTTTGGACAGAATATTCCCTAACGCTGTTAGGGTTTTCGTATATGTGTCAAGCATGTGTTTGCGCGTGGCCGGCACGTGGGTGTTCGGAAAATTTTTCTAAAAGTATGGGGATGTTCGTGGTGTTGAGTAGATCACGTTGGTATATTCCAACACCCCATTTGAGCAATGTATGAGAGGTTATTAGCTAGTTTTGTTTATGTGCTTTAAATTAACGTTTATATAGTTGTTTCGCATATAGGTGAGACATATCCTCAAGACGAGCGTAGTCAATTGAGGCTTGGGGGCTACGACCCTTCCACATACCAGTGAGTGGGCTTTTGGTTTTCCATATATACCTATATACTTGAGATTTTTCCCAAAAAATGAAATTGAATGATTATATGTTTTAAAATGCCATGCAAAGTATTTGCCTATTTTATTTATGCATTAATAGTTGCATATATTTATGATTGGTGTTGCGGACTCACAGGTAAGTGCCAGGTAAGTTTATAGATTATGGTTGTGAGATTAATGATTATGTGAGATATGTTGAGAGCTCATAAACATGTACCCCAGTGTTACTGCTCCCGCCCAGAGTTAGGGCACAGTCCTTCATGTGATGTTCACCTCCTGCACCATACGCTCACCTTGGATCCAAGTTAGGTGCACAGTTTTGTCGTACAAACCACTATAGGTGGTTTCGACTTGTAGATGACCCCCGATTATTCTCATAGTCTTCACGTGATCGTAACACTTGAGCGTATTTATTTACACCCAATCCTGTCGTACAGACCACTTTAGGTGGTTCCGACTCGTGTGCAGGTATATTTGTTGAGATGTGGATTTGAGCCGTACAGATCACGTTAGGTGACTCCGACTGACATATCATTTGCATTGATTTATATCACCTGACTTACATATATTTTATGTTGAGATATTTGACATAGCATAAATGTGGATTTGCTAATTCGAGTATGGTTTCAATATATGTATATGTTCTATTTTCTGGGAAATTATACAGGTTTTACGGTGAGGGGTTAGACCTTTTGAGAAATGAAATGATTTTGAAAAGCTTTGTTTTGCCCACTCACACTTTCTGTTTTGTGCCCCTCCAGGTTCTAGTTAGGAGTGCTTTTGGTGGCCTATGAGGAATCCACGGCAACTTTGACAGATTCTCACCATTGTATGGTTACCTTTGGGTGTTGTATAATTAGTATTTGTCCCGCTGGACTGCATTTAGGCTACTTATGCTTTGGTTGTGTTATCACACTTAATCTCGCACTAACACCTTATTTTAGCCAGTACTTTTAGTAGTTGGTTTTCATTTACTTGTATTTCCTTATATCATTTTGCTTCCGCAATGTGCACATGGTTATGTCACTCTCACATGACGGCTAGTACTCCCTGATTTAGGTCGGGGTGTGTCAGTTGGTATCAGAGCCTAGGTTTGGCAGTCCTACATATTTTGTGATTATTCTAATTATTTTGGTGTTTTCTATCAGAACTATGCCGCCTCGTAGAGAGCCACGTCATTCAGCTGAGTCTAGTTTCCCTAATATAGCTCAGTTAGGGGAAACTATTGCTACTGTTATTCAGTCTGTGCTCCGCCCTCCTCAAAGGACACCCTTGGAGACCATGTATAATTTGAAGTTGGATAAGTTTAAGGGTAATGAAGGTGATGAAGGGGCAAAGCGGTGGCTCGACCATCTTGAAAAGACTTTCCAAGTGTTGCAGAGTCAAGGGAATCTTCCTTATGAAAGGTGGGTCGAGACGACTACATGGTTCTTAGGTAAAGAACCATCATCCTAGTGGAAATAGGAGGCTTATTCGATGACACCAGAGGAAGCAGCTGACTGGAAAGTGTTTAAGCAGTTTTTTCTGAAAAGGTTTATTCCCCCTGAGTATATTGATCGCAAGAAGCAAGAATTTACTTAATTGAGACAAGGGAAGATGACGGTGAATGAGTATTACAGGAGATTCACTGATTTGTCTCGCTATGATCCGAAAGTTGCTACTAATCCGGTTGAGATGCTTCGTCGTTTCAGATTGGGTACTAAGAAGAAATGGCGTTCTATGGCGACCACTACTCCTTGTGTTTCTTACCAGGAGTTCTATGAGATTTTGTTGAGGATCGAAGATTCAGAGAATATGCCTAGTGAGAGTGAGGAAGAAGAAAATGACGGCAATCAAAAGAAAGATGACAAGGGTAAAGGTCAAGCATCTCAAGGACCTCGCAAGACTCAGAGCTTTAAGAGAAGTGGAGCTAGTTCCAGTTCTTCCAGCGAGGGTTCTAGTGCCACTAGTCAGGGAAGAGGTGGTAGATTTTCTAAGGGTCCTAGATTCCAGAGACAGGGGGATGCTAGTAGAGGAAGGGTTCCGTTGTGCCGCAGATGTAACAATAGGCATTTTGGAGAGTGTAGAGGGGGCATTAGTGGATGTTTTACATGTGGACAGATGGGACATAGAGCTATAAATTGTCCTTAGTATTAGCAGAGGCCCCAATAGCCTTCCTTGCCA